AGCCCTCACAGCCCAGTGCAGACAGATGCCCAGCGCTGAGCCACAGAGAGGGCTCATGACAAGCCCAGACAGTAATGCCACCTGTCCTCAGGGCTCAGCTGGGACCAGCTCCTCCAGGAAGCCTACTTACACCTCCCCAGCTGAGGTTCTGAGGGAACAAACCCAGAAATTCAGAGCCATTGGGTGAAGGCTCTAGACCAGCGCTGCCCAATGGAAATATAATGTAAGCCATGTATGTAGTGGCTACATTTAAAATACTTAAAAAAAAAAGGTGAAATCATTCATGTAATTACTATTCAATGCTTTGCTCTTCTAAGTGCTCAGTAGCCACGCGTGGCTAGGGGCTCCCACCCCAGCTCAGGTTTTATCCGGTGTTATCTCCCAGCTGAGGGCTTGGACCCGCTCAGCCAGTGTGGGGTGAGAGCTGCTGGCCCAGTGAATGGATGTTGAAGCGGCTGGGACATCCCCAGCTCACCTGATGTTTGCGTTCGGCCTCCTCCTTGGCCTTCTTGGCGCTCATCTCCTTCCGGAGCTTCTCCTCCTCCGCCAGCCGCATTTTCTCAGCCTCCAGGCGCCGCAGGTACTGGGGGGGTGGGGGCAGGGTGGGCACTGAACTGTGTGTGGCTGTCACAGTGCTTCCCACCAGCTGGACCCCACCCCAAACTGGCTGAGTTATGGGACTGTAAGTGACTTTGACAAATAATTTGCAGAGAGGGAAACTGAGGCATGTGAGAAATTCTCTAGATCACACAGCAGGTTGGGGGCACCACTGATCCCAAAGCCAAAACAGGTTCGCCTTGGCCTCCCGAAGATCCACAGAAAGGACTGGGCCCCCACCCTACCCTTGGCTGGAAGGAGGGGAATGAGGGGTCCAGTTTCGTGCATTCCTCAGAGGAGGCAGAGCCCTACAGACATCCCCCAGTAGGCTCAGGTCACACTTGGGGGCGATTTGTCTGCCTGAGGTGGAGCAGCAGCCCTTGGAGGACACACCCATCATGGGGCTCAGAGCCGTGGGTGCTGTTGGACCCGGACCCGGATCCTCACCTCGGCCCTGAGGCGCCGGTGCAGCCTGCGGGCAATCATGCCCCGGGCGTAGGCCTGCACTGTGATCACAGCCCAGAGGCGGTGGCGGAAGGCCTTGCGCACCAGGTAGGCGCGGCAGCGGGCCTGGAACTCAATGATGCGCCGGCGGGCCAGGCGGTACTGCTGGTGCAGCTTCCGGGCGTGGTGCAGAGCCTGCAGCCTCAGGAAGCCCAGCCGCATCTGCAAGGACGGCCATCAGCTCAAGAGCTGCTGTCCAGATTTCAGACCAACCCTGCCCGCAGGAGGTTGCTGCCCTGGGCTCCACTCTCCAACCTGCGTGCCCCAGAGGCACTGCTGTCTCCTCTCAAACCAAAGTTCCACAGAGAGTGGCCTTGGCCCCCCAAGGGCCCCCCATCCTCAGACCAGGGGCTGGCCTCCTTCTGGTTCACCTCCCCAGCACCAGGTCCGGCTGCGGCCTGTTGATTCATTGAGCTCCACATGACACACCCACTCCTGGCTCCCTCTGAGGTCTCTAATGACCCGGGTGCTCACAACCCACCAAAACATTCCAGAAGAAAAGCACAAACACTGCTCACCAGATGGGGAGAGCCACAAAAACCACACTTGGACTTTGGGCTGGAGGAACAGTAGGGGCTGGCGGCGGTGGCAGGAAGCCAACCACCCCCGCAAACAGGTAAGTCCTGCTGCCATGGCAATGGGGCTGGGGTCAAAGGCCTCATGCGGCAACACGCAGCCCCCTGGGGAGGCTCACCAGCCCGTAGTTCCTCCTGCAGTTGTGGCCCCGCCAGTGCCTCTGGATCAGCATGGCAGCGTTCTTCAGCTTCAGGAAGTTGGACCTGAAACAACAGCATGATGTAGCAGAAGCTCAGAGCAGAGAATCAGTGCCAGGGCACATGTGGGGTTTGGAATCAGGAGAGCAGGGCTGAGTCCCAGCCCTATGTCTCCTTGGCCCCAGGACCTTGGGCAAAGGCATATAACCTCTGTGTGCCTCAGCTTCCTCATCTGCAAAACGGGCAGAATAATACCTGCCCTGCCTGCCTCACAGGCTTGTCACATAAGGTGGACACTCAAAGTTATTCATAAATGAATGTATGAGCAAAATAATATAAAGATTAAATGCTTTGGACACTGTAAATACCACTTGTTAGTGACTGTTTAATTCCCTCATTTTATAGGTGAGGAAACTGAGACTCGATGAGGTTGGGGCTAGAACCGCAGGCTTCTGACCGACTCTGAGTGAGAACCACACTGTTCCCCTGCACACACGAGGCAGCTTCTACAGGATGACAGTCACCTTCGACCCGAAGGAGGATAAGAAACCACACATCAAACAGCAGGTGTCTCCTGAACGCAAAAATATGAAGGGAGGAGTGAAGGATGGCTGTATCAGTACAGGTGAGCCAGCGAGCCAACGCCTGGAAGCACACACAAACAAGGGCACAGCCACGGGAGGTGATGGATAGTCAGACAGATGCATGGAGGGACAGGTGGATGGACAAAGGATGGCTGGACAAATGGACAGCCAGATGGATCTACGGAGAGAGAGAGAGAGAGAGTGACCAGATGAACTGCAAAAGGGGCAAGTTATAGGACTTTTGTGGAGCCTGAATCACATTCGAGTCAGCCCTGCCCATCTGTAAATTGTCACAACTGTACACAGGACCCTTACATGGGACACACTTTGGTGGGGCACAGACGGGGCTGTGTAAATCATGTGTCTGAGTGTTTGTCCATGTTTGCATGATCATGTGTGCAAGTTATGCATGTATGTGTGTCTGTGTGTGCACATGGGTGTTTATTCCCAAAGTTCACGTGGGGGCTGAGAAGGAGTGGAGCGGGTCCAGGCACGAACCTGTCTTTGAACCCCCGGATGACCTTCTGGAGGAGGATGACTCTGTCGGTGATGGCCTTGTCCCGTTCCACCTCCAGCAGCATGTCGTGGTGGTCCTGGGGGGCAGAGATCCTGAGTGGCGCCCCCACCAATCTCTCCAGTCCCGGGGCTGAGGCTGCCCCAGGTGGGCCTCTCTTCCTTCACTCAGAGCCCAGGCCTAGGCTTGCTTCAGCCCCAAAGGCTCCCAGCCCTGCTCTGGCCCCATGCGGTGGCCTCCCACAGCCACAGGCACAGACAGGTACAGCTGAGGCCGCTTCCCAGGGGCCTGTGTGGGACAAATGGAGTAGGAGGGGCCTAGTGTGACGGGATGGAGTCGGGGGCCCAACATGCACACACACTGCCTTCATCCCTCCAGCTGTCTGTGCCCAAGCCCCGGGTATCTTCTAGATGTATCTGGCACACCAGCCCCTGACCTGGGCCAGGCCACCAGCATTTCTCTCCAGGACCTTAGAAGTAGCCTCCTAATCAGTCTCCTGGCTTCTGTCACTTCCGCTCTGACTCTCCCTCAAGGAGGGGAATTACAGTGATACCTCAAGGCTCCTGGGGCCAAGCCTGGTCTCCTCCCCTGGCACCCGGGTCCTCCACCATCAGGCCCTGCCCACTTCTCCAGCCCTCTCTCCTCATCTCCAAGCCCCCAGCCCTCACTCCAGTTGGACAAAACTTCATGGTTCATTCAGTACAGGAATTGAATGTCTCCATGTGCCAGCCCTGTGCTAGGTGCTGGGATGGGGCCGCAGTGAACCAGGCCAACCTGGGTCTGGTGGGGAAGCCACCTCCATCAGATAATCACAGACCGCATCACGTGGGGCCAGGGCCCAGCACAGAGGGGCTGCTCAGCCCAGGTTTTCTGAATGAATGAACAGAAGAATGGATGAATAAATGAATGGGAAATTCATTTGGCTGGAAACCATTGCCCATTTCTGAACAGCCCTGAGAGGTAAGGATGGGGAGGATGGTGACAATGATGGTCCTCAGAGGTCTCTGGCACCAGGTGCCTTCCCTCCCTTACTCACAGGGGCTGGACATCAGAAGCACAGGCTGGAAGGCCTGCTCTCTACTCCAGGTCAGTGCCTGACCTTGGGCCACTTGCTTCTGCACACTGAGCCTCTGAAACGGGCATAATAATTCTACCTCAGAGGCCTGCTGCGACAACTAAATGAGATGATGGACAAAAAGCCCCCACTGGGGCCTGGTGTATAGAACACGCTTTCCTGGCTGCAGTTGTGACATGCACAGGCAGGGGACAGTCGGCACATTTTTCCAATGAGGAAATGAAGGCTCAGGGAGATGAAGGCATTGGCCCACAGCCCACCAGCCACGGAGCAATCAGACTGGATTCCAGGGCCCCCTCCAGCTCCAGCTCAGGGCTGGCTGCCCTCTTCCCTCTCCCCAGCTGTCCTGAGCTGCCCAGGACCCGCCCCATGCCTGAGGAAGGGACAACCAGAAATCTAGAACAGCAGAAATGGAAATGGGGAAGCCAGAGCTCGCACCATCCCTGCTATAGCTCCTGCCTCCACCAACTCCCCAGCAAGCTCTGTCCCAAGGCCAGGATGCCCGCAGCCCAGCTTCCTGCTCCCAGCCCTGCCCTCTCCCCAACTGCCTAGCTCCCAAAGTCCTTCCCAGGCTGTGGTAGGAGCCAGAGAGCCCCAGGTGCCTGCTCGGGGAGCTCAGGAACAGGCCCAGGGGCAGTACACAGCAAGGAGGGCGGCACACGGCCAACCACAGCCCAGGATGAACCCCGCCTGGCAGGAAACCACAGGAAGGAAACTAAGATACACTCAAGGGCACCCCCGCCCCCACAGCCATCTGCACCACTACAAGCACATCCCAGTTTACAGATGGAGAAGTGAGGGTCAGACAGGGTAGGTGGCCTGCCCAAATTTCCAGGGCAGACAACCACAGGATCAGGACTGATCCAGCCTCCCTGGTGAGCCCACCTCTGGCCTTTGGCTTTCTCACCCACCGTCAGTGCTTCAACCCCACCCCCACATCATAGACGCTCTCAAAAACCAATTGCCCCTCCACCACCCAGGAGGCCTTATTAACTGCACCCGCTCCTCCTGGCGCCAGATGCAGGGCAGGAGGATGGCAGAGGCCCAGCACTGACCCTACTCGGTGCTGCAACCCCTCAACAGCGGCCCCCGAGGACCTGGGAGCTCACAGTGCACCCCCAACCCCGAGGCAACCAGAGTCAGGGGCCACGCTCACCTTCAGAAAAATCTTGGTTCTGCCAATCTGCCAGTCATCGTGGGTGCCCAGAACAGCCTCAGCCATGCGCTGACATGTCCCCCGGAGGTCATTCTGGGGGATGCCCAAGAGAATGGGTGGCCCCGTCAATGGAAGGCCACCTGGTGTCCCTCCCAAGGCAAGGCTCTTGCTTCAGCTCTGCTCCTGACTCTGTGTGGCCCCAGCCAGGTCCTGCCTCCTCTGACACTCATTCTTCTCCTTAGCTTGGCCGGATGATTGTAAAACCTTCTGCTACAGCTAACAGCTTGGCAGCCCTGGTCTCGTCCATAACACCACACGTGTGAAGCCCATGCCAGCCTGGCATGGCAATGGAAGTTGTCAGATGCACTCCCCTGCCTGACCCCCAATTTTTCTAGCCACACCTAAGGTGGCCGAGCTGATGTCACACCTAGCGCACTGCTCTGATGAGAAAAATGGGGCCTCGGCCCAGCCCAGAGCTGGGACCCTGCCTCCTGCTGCCTATGCCCCCAGCCCTGTACCTGCTTGTAGGCTGGCTTCACGCCAGGCAGCAGCACTCGGTAGCGCTCCACGAACTCCACGAAGCTGTAGCGGATGGGGTAGCCGGCTCGGCGGATTCGGATGGTCTCCATCATCCCTGAGTACCGCAGCTGGCGCACACACAGGTGCCGGTCGAACAGCTGCCAGGCAAGGAGCCAAGGGCGTCAGTGCAGGAGGCTCCTGCTGGGAGGCCAGCCCTGCTCTGTATTTTCCCAGCCCCAAAGGCCCAGAGAGGCAGAACCACACAGCAGATGAGGTGCAAAGGCAGGAATGGACCTGGATCAGCAGTCCAAACCCACACAGCAGCACAGAATGAGACCCTCTGTGCTTTGAGGGCACAGAGAAGAGACGGCTTAATTCCCTTTGGGACACCTCGAGGAGGCTTCGTCGAGGAGGTGGTCTTTGCTCTAAGCCTGATGGGGGAGACAGGGCACTGGGAGGGCATGCGTGTGCAAAGGTAAGGAGGCCTGCACGCACAGGACAAGTTAGGGGACTTTATGGGGACTGAGAAGGCTCATGCACGTCAAGATAATGATTATGCAGGTGGTGGGTGCCTTGTACGACTCCAAGGAGCACCCTTCATATTACAGCCATCTTAGATTTGTAGGTATTCAGACAACTTTCTGGCTGCTGACAGTAAAGTGTCTTCCTTAAGAAAGAGATACATTTTTCTAACTGTCACAGTCATTTTTGTGATGGCAGCAGGGTTGGTGGAGGGGCTGTGAAGGGCCTCAGAGGCAGCAGGGAGTGACCAGATCAGATTTGCATCTGAGACCCACGTCTCTCACTGCGGTGGGGAGAGGACTAGAGAAAGGAGACTACGGTAGGGAGGCAGGTGACCTGAGGGAGGCCCTGCAGCCACGGTCCAAGCCACAGGCTGAGGCCTGGGCCCAAAGAAGGTTCTGGAGGCATCGGAGAGCAGGAGAGATGGTGCCAACTGCAGGGCCCCGGCCTCGGCCCCCTGCACCTCCCACTTCAGAAGCAGAGCTTGCTGGAGCCCTCTGTGACTCTCACGCCCCTGCAGACCCGGTCCTGAGCCCCAGGGATACTGGCCACCCCATTCTAGGGAACGTTTCCAGGCAGGGGACGGGGGCAGGAGGCAGGGCCAGCACGCGGAAGGCTGGCTTCCGCCACCTGTTTCCTCTCCCTACAGGCACTTTCCCTGGCCCAGCACTGGCCTCCGGCCTTCTGCCCCTCCCCAGACCCTCAGGCCCCAACTTCTCCACCCTTCCCTCCTGTCTCTGGGAAGAGCCTTGTGGTAAACAACACCTCCTAGAGCTGCGGAGGGACAGGGCTCCTAGCGAGGGGGAGGCCTAGGCTCCCAGCTCTGCCACCTCAGGCCCCTGACCCTCCCTGAGCCTCCCGTGCTACATCTCAAATACGGGGCCATAATGGTCCCTCCCTCACAGCCTGTTAGGAAGTTTGAACGGGGCTGTGGAGAGACAGTCTATTCTGTGCCAAGCACACAGAAAGGACTCAAAAGATATTATTCAGAGAAGTGAAAAATGAGAATGTTCCCAACCAGTCAGAGGAATCTGGGAAAGCTTCAAGGAGGAGGCGGTAGTTGTCTAGATCACAGAAGAGGGGGCTTTCAAAATCGGGGCCACAACAAGAACCCCAGCTGCCATTTACCAAGCACCTCCTAGGTGCCAGGTAGTCTGCACACATTATTGCACAGACTATCCGACCAGGTGGGTCTCATCAGGCCCATTTCCAGCTGTGAGGAAACTGAGGCCTGAGAGGATGAAGTGACTTGTCTACAGCCACCCAGCTTGAAAGTGGGAGAGTCCGGATTTGAACCTGCATCAGACCTGCTACAGAGTCCAGGCTTTTTGCAGGGCACCTGCTGCTTCCAGTAAATAGAGACTTTGTTCTGTAAGCCCCTCAGGGGCCCTGCAACTCCCCAAAGAGGACAAAGTCTCACAGGGCCCGGCCCACCCTGCCCCCAACCTTGCCCAGGCCCCTTTCACCCACCAGGCTGGTCCTCGCTGCCTCCCCTCCCCCAGCGTCCCCCATCCCGCAGCCGGGTGGCTCACCATGGGCTTCTTGAACTCATTGGGCTTGATGCAGCGCACGAAGAAGGGCTGACAGGCACCCAGCGTGCGCATCAGCAGCTCCAGCGACCGCTTGAACTGGCTGCTGAGTGTGGGTGAGCGCTTCCTGGTCTCCGCACCCTGGGGGGATGGACCACAGTGATGGGAGGGGCTGACCCACGCCCGTCCAGCCCTCCAGAAGGGAAGCAGGAGGGAGGTCAGCGGGTCAGGGCCTGCGGGACAGCCGCCCAGGGAAGCAGGCTGGCCAGGCGCGCTTTCTGTTTCCTGTGACCCTCCTGGTCTGGGCTGGAGCTTGGACCCCAAATGCACCTCCATCTCGGGATCCTCCCTGATCCGGGGCCCAGGAGCCCTGCAGCGGGAGTGGGGAGCCCTGGGTTCCCACACTGGTATGCTGGGTACTCTGGGCAAGGCGCAGCCCCTCTCTGAGTCTCCATCCTCCCTTTCCGGTATAAATGAGTAGCCAGACTTGGTCCCCTCAGGACAACGGGGTCGTCTCTAGGAGACAGGTTAGACAGACCTAAGTGCACACTCTAGGCCACCGCCTCCTAGCTGGTCATTCAAAAGCCCTGAGCCTCAGTTTCCCAAATGGGAATAGTGCCATCTGTCTAGCTGACTGGGCTGTGGGAGTCTGTCTCAGTAAACAGCAACTCCTGAGGGCGGGGCTGCTGCCCGCACCCTCTGCCCTCCCTGTGGGATTAGCCGGTCAGCAGCAGCCCCGGATAAACCTCCTAAGAAGGCACACAGCTGGCCTCCGGCCGCCCCAAGGGCCCCATGCACCACCAGCCGCTCTCTGGGTGAGCCGGCCGGCAAGCCCCCACACCTCTCTGCCCTACTGGGGTCCCCCTCTCAGGATACTGTGAAATGAGGTGAGGGTGCTGGGGGAGCACCTGAGAAGCAAACAAACGGGGAGCAGAATATCTCAGACAGATACTGAGAAAGTGGACACAGAAATCAGACTGGATTCCAAAGCATCTTGATGTTCCTATTTTCCTGGCAATTTCTTTTGGATGAGAATTTTTTATTAGTGAATTTGATTATTATCATAAAATTTTATATTTTAAAGAAGCCATCATTCTATCTGATATCCTGTAGCATCAAAAACCAGGGCTGCAGATGCATGTGTGAGGTGTGTGGGAGGAGGCAAAGGCATTTAACCCATTCTAAAGTTAGACTGGACGCCCCCGGAATGAAATGAAACTTGCCAAGAAACGGCAAATGCTTTCTAATCTGAAATTTGCCATGCTTTCCATTTTAGTTTTTTCTGAAATATAGTCTAGGATTTTGCCAAGAGAAGCTGGGGAGTATTTGCACCGGGATAGGGTGCATGCCAGGTCTGTGGCCCCCACCGTTGCCCCAGAACCTGATCCAGCAGCAGCACTGGGTGACCCCCCACTTGGAGAGGGAGCTGTCCAGGTTGGGATGTACACGGCCTGCATGAGAGGCCTTGCCAGGACCACGTGTGTGCACACACAACACATATACACACAGACACACATCCACATATATATACACACAACACATAAATGTACACACATAGACACAGCACACACATACACATACAGCATATACACAAACACAGACACACAACACACACAGCACACCCTCACACACAGTACATATACACAGTACATATACACAGTACACGAAGCATGCACACATGCATGACACAAACACACACACACATACAACACACATCCTTCTTTGGTTCTGATCATCACACTGGAAACTATGCCTTTCTGTCTGTCTCCCCTGCTGGCTGTGAGCCCCATGAGGACAGGTGGTACACCCTGTTTACTGCTGTGCCCCAGGCCTGCCACAGCAGCAATCGACACTTCGCTGAGATAAACAACAAGTTCATACTGTACAGCATAGGGAACTGTATTCAGTATCTTGTAGTAACTTATGGTAAAAAAGAAATTGAAAATGAATATATGTGAGACTGACAAGGGCTCAATTTCCAGAATATATAAACAGCTCATACAACTGAACAAGAAAAAAACAGACAACCCAATCCAAAAAATGGGCAGAAGACCTAAACAAGCAATTCTCCAATGAAGACATACGAATGGCCAATAGGCACAACATGAAAAAACGCTCACTCACTAATTATCAAAGAGATGAAAATCAAAACAACAATGAGGTATCACCTCACACCAGCCAGAACGGCCATCATTCAAAAGTCTACAAACGATAAATGCTGGAGAGGCTGTGGAGGAAAGGGAACCCTCCTACACTGCTGGTGGGAATGCAGTTTGGTACAGCCATTATGGAAAACAGTATGGTGATTCCTCAAAAGACTCAAAAATAGACATACCATATGACCCAGCAATCCTACTCCTGGGCATATATCCAGAGGGAACCTTAATTCTAAAAAGATACATGCACCCCAGTGTTCACAGCAGCACTGTTTACAATAGCCAAGACATGGAAACAACCTAAATGTCCATCAACAGATAACTGGATAAAGAAGCTGTGGTATAGTTATACAATGGAACACTACTCAGCCATAAAAAAGAATAAAATAATGCCATTTGCAGCAACATAGATGGAGCTGGAGAATGTCATTCTAAGTGAAGTAAGCCAGAAAGAAAAGAAAAATACCATATGGTATCACTTATATGTGGAATCCAAAAAAAAAAAAAAAGAGGGACAAATGAACTTATTTAAAAACAGAACCAGACTCACAGATATAGAAAACAAACTTACGGTTACAAGGGTGGGAACGGGGTGGGAAGGGATACATTGAGAGTTCAAGATTTGCAGATACTAATTAATACATATAAAATAGATAAACAAGTTCATACTGCATAGCACAGGCAACTATATTCAATATCTTGTAGTAGCTTACAGTGAAAAAGAGTATGAAAATGAATATACGTATGTTCCTACATGACTGAAGAATTGTGCTGTACACCAGAAATTGACACAACACTGTAAGCTGACTATACTTCAATAAAAACATACATATACAAACAAGAACACTTTGTTGAACTGAAGTGGTACTGAATTGGTTGCCAGCATCTATGGGCTCCCAGAAATTGTCCACCTTCCAATTGCTTAGGCCAAAGATCTAGGAACAATCCCCAACTCCTCTTCTCTCATATCCAATATGTCAGCAAATTTTATTGGCTCTACCTCCAAAATGGATCAAGAATCTGATCCCTTCTCACCACTTCCTCCACTGTCAGCCTGGTCCAAGCTGCCTGCAAAGCTCTCTCATTATTGCAACCTCCAAGTTGGTCTCCCTGCTTCTGTCCCCAACACTCCATTATCAACACAGCAGCCTGAGTGAGTCTGTTAAAACACAAATCCAGGCATGTCTCCCTCACTCAAAACCCTCAATGGCTCCCCAGTTCACTCAGCATGAACACCAAGGTCCTTGTAAGACCTTGGTAGGGGGAAGGTATAGCTCAGTGGTAGAGCACGTGCTTGGCAGGCATGAGGTCCTGGGTTCAATCTCCAGTACTTCCAGTAATAACAACAACAACAAAAGAGAACCGCCAACAATGTCCCACAGGAACTGGTCCCAGTTACCTCCAGTCTCTCCACCGCCTTGCCAACTCCCTTCCAGCCACTCCTGCCTCTGCGTTCTTCCTACAATGCACCAGGCAGGTTGGGGTTAAAAGCATCTCAGGGCTTTGCACTTGCTGTTCCCTCTCCCTGCAATGCTTTTCCTCCAAAGTGCACGTGGCTGGCTTATTCACATCCTTCCAAACCTCTCAGTAAGGACTTTCCTGATCCCCTATTCAAACTGCAAAGCCCCACCACTGGCATTCCTCCCTGCCGTATTTTTCTCCATCTCATATGTCACCATCTGATGTATTACATTTATTACTTACTGGTTTTCTTGTTAACTATTTCCCCCTTCTGCTAGAATGTAAGTTCCAGGAGGACGAAGTTTTGTTTCTGTTTTGTTCACTATCATGTCCCCAGGACACAGGACAAGGTCTGGCATATAATGAGCACTCAGTACGTATCTAACTGAAGGAAGTGATGAGTGAATGAAGGCTATGAGCCCAGGGTCCGCTCTCACTTCCCTGACCATCTGGTTTCTGATTTGGCTTTATTTCATTGAGGGGAAATGTGATCTTTTCTAACCTTTGTTGTTTTCTAGGATAATCTGCAGATGTTTAGGGATGGGGTAAAGGTGGAAGTGAGAAGTCGAATGACCCCATGGAGGGGATGTGAGGGGCAGGCACCTGAGCGTGACGTGAATGGGACTGGGAAGTCCTTGGCAGAAGAAGCCACCTGCATAGTGAACAAGTGTCCTGTGGACCGAGGGCCCCGGGGACACGTGACTGGGGTTGGTGTTCCATGTCCCAGGAGAACCGTCATGCTCATGGCTCAGCTGACCCCTCTAGCACAATGGTGGGGGTGGCAGTGCTGCCCGGTGCGCCCTGAGGAAGCAGGCACGAGAGGCAAAGGATGGAAATTCAGGGCGGGGACCTGCGCGGGACGCAAGTTCAGATCACTGGAAGGACGCGGGCTTCTGCTCTCAGGACAGCACTGCAGCTTATATACAGTCATGGAAGAAACTGTGACTTCATACTGCGCACTTCACATTGATTTCCAAGTTCCTTTGACAGAGCTATCACGTATCCAGTGGTTAAAAACCGTTTTTTTTTCTTTCCTAGAGGCATGGCCGAGACAGCACAGCATGGTGAAAAGGAGTGGGGACTTGAAAGCCTTTTAGCCCTCACTTGTATGTGACCTTGGCCCAGTCCCTGCACCTCCGAGAGACAGACCAGGATCAAATTCCTGTGTCACAAGCTGTGTGACCTCAAGTAAGCACCCTGGCCTCTCTGGGCTCCAGCTTCTTTACCTATAAGGTGGGGGCAGTAGTAATTACTCACAGAGATGCCACAGGAGTGAATGAGGTGAGAAATGTAAGTGTATAGCTCACATCCTGGTCCAGAAGAGTAGAGGAAATCGTATCAGATCTGTCACTGCCACTTTCTAAGTCTGTGCTCCAAAAACTCCCTTAGGAGCTGGCCATTTCTGGAGACCCCAGGGTCTTACACTTGAACCTCTCCACTGTTCCTCAGGAAGTGGGTTCTATTCCCAGGGTCCAGGGAAGGAGGTTTAGAACAGGAAACTCCATGGAGAGGTCCCCACATGCCTCCAGGTGCTTGGGAAAGATGGGAAAATTAGGAGGAGAATATAGGTACAATGGTCTTCTGGGATAGCCCAAGACCAGGAGGAAGGGGTGGGCCTGGCAGAGCCAGACTGGGGTCTTACAGGAGGACAGGAAGAGTGCACGAGAGCCCAGAGCCACTCCTGTTTCACCAGGGCTGTGACCTGGCTTTGGGCTGGGGCTTCCGATGCCTGGGGCCCCTCTCTGCCGGTGGCCCTACAGTCATCCCACCAGCTGGCTGGCCACCGTGTCGGCCTGGGGCCGACCCACGGGCAGAGGACAGAGGCCTCCATCCAGACACACACTCCCTGCTCCTGACAGCTGGGTACCCTGCTCTGCTGCTTTGGCTTTTGTCAACTGTTCCAGAACTCTAGGAGGCACTGGGCAGCAGGGGAATGCCAGGCATGCAGGAAGGAAGAGGGACTCAGCATTAAGACCAAATGTCAGGGGACGTCAGTGTTAGACAGAGAGGAAATTAAGGGTTGAGAAGAGAAAAGAGAGGCAAAGGGATGGCAGAGCTATGCTGCTGCTAAGGGTACCCAGCACCTTTGGGGCCCAAAACGCCTTGGGAGCCACGACCTATAGCTGGTGGTCAGGACACACCAGGGATACTGTTCTACGGCCTGAGGAGGTCCCAGCTATTCGGCCCCATCCCCTGGATGCTGCAACTTGGGGTGAACCAACCACACTCCATCCCTGACCTCATCCTCCACCTGCAAAAGGCAGAAACTACTACCAGCAGCACAAGATTATCAGAGGACTGGACCGAATCACAGACATGGGAACCTTTAGCAGGGCCTGGAGGAAGGAGACTCAAAAACACTCAATGCTCAAAAAGACTGAATGGAGGCAGAGGACTTGGGAGACAAGAATTTGAGTCCCAGCCCTGCCCCTCGTTCATGGGGTACGCTAGGTAATCACCTCTTTTCTACGGCTCAGTTTCCTCCTTTTAAGAAACTTAGATGCCTGCAGTACACACAACTCAAAAAACAAAAACCAAACCACTCCACAAGCCACTCCACAAAAAAAAAATAAAAATAAAAATAAAACAAAAGCCAAAAACAAACACTCCAACAAAATGAAGAAGGGAAAAAACAGCCCTTTTCCCGAGCCTCAGTGCCACTGGGACCAAGACACAGCCCAGCCCCAGGAGCCCCCGAGGCCTCTCCCACCTCCTTGGGCCCCAGGCCAGGGTCTTTTACCTTCGCAGGAGCTGCTGACTGGCGGAGGGTGCCTGATGAGTAACCACAGAGAAACTACAACCGGAACCGCCGTGCACGGCAAGATGGGGTGTGGGGCAAGGAGAATGTGGTGGGTCAGAAAATGGAGGGCAAAGTCCACCAGGGGAAGAGGAGGACCCTCCGGGCAGAGGTCTAGGCTCCGGGCGGGGGCGCTGGGGGCAACATAGGCACCTGGACAAGCACTGAGGGGGCAATGGCTCTGCCCTCCCTGTGAGCCCCTCCATACACTCTCCAGAAAGCCATGGGGCAGCAGGAAACTATGAAATAAAAAGGCATATAATCCTGCTGGAAACAGGGCCACCAGATCACCACTCCAGGGACAAGGGAAATGTCAAGGGTGGGAAATTCTCCACCCCACCAGGCGGTCCCGGGCTGGCACAAATATGCCTTTTGTGCCCATTTCTCTGAACACCTATCCACGTCCTCTAGGCTGGCTGTGCTTCCTTCACCCGCGCTCCGTTAGCTGCTGGAGGTCGAGACCCGCCATAGGAAACCAAGTCCTGATCAGGCTTTGCTCTGCAACCTCTCATGTGACACTTCTCTGGTCCTTGCACCGCACCCTCAATCAGTACAAGAGGATGAGAAGCACCCATAGACCCTCTTGGAACCACAGCAAAGCCCTGCCCCTGCTCTGAGGCCAGAGGAGCTCAGCTAAAGCTCTTGGACAAGGGGGCACCTAGACACAGGCCCTGCTTCTGGGGGCCCCCCCACCCAATGAAATCCCTGCCCCAATATTACCATGGCAACGTCGGCCTGGAAGATCTGCTTGATGAACTTGTTCCTGGAGGAGTGGACCAGCTGGATGATGTCCCCGTGCAGGGTGTCCCGGTTCTTCTCCAGGAAGCCTGAGCAGCGGCAAAGAGCGGTCACACCTCGCCAGCTTCGGCAGCCTCCCCCTGACAGGACTCAGCCCCTCCCCAAATCCACAAGGTCTGGGCCAGGAAGACCCTCAAAATTCACCTAATTCGACCACATCCATTTTATAGCGGGGGACACTGGGGCCTGGAGAGGACAGAGCAGTTTTCCCAAGGCCACAGAGAAAGTGAGGGGCAGAACCATAATTGGAACTGGTCTCCCCAACTACACAGCCCCCCTCTTCCAGGCCGGGTCAAAGAGGAGGGCAGGGGGTCTCAGTCCCCAAGAGGGGCCACCTTCCTGACTGAACCACCCTAGCGCCTGGAATGCCAGCTTTAGTCTTTTGAATGACGGCTGGGACCTGAAACAACTTACCTGAGGGCTTGCAGCTGGACAAACGTCTCCTTGAGCAGTGGACTACAGAGAAACCCTACAGGACTGAAAATAACTGCACGCAGGCACAGTTGGGGCAATTATGAACAATAAGATACAAAAAGGCCACGAAGAAACTGCCGTCTCTGTGGTGCCGGGAGCAAAAGCAGGGCACTGCGCATGACCCCTGCGCACGGCACCACCAAGGGAATGGGCAGACCACCTAAGCCACACCTCTGGCCCCACCCACTGACCTGCCCCCACCCTCAGCCCTGTTTAAGGAAGAGCCCGCCCCCACTCAGGGAACAGCAGGGCACCTGTTTCTTGTTCTCGCTGCCCGGGGCTGCAGCACGAGTCCCAGAAAAGACTTGCCTCAGTTTCTTGTCTGGCCTCTTATCAATTTCTACTGATTAAAGAGTCCAGGGACTTGCGTCAGTGACAAAGGTGTCAGAAGCCCTTGTTAAGTGTGTCCCCTGGGAGAGAATACGTTCATCTGGCACCAGCTAATAGTAAAGGAATTAACTTAAAATGCCTTGCATTCAGATAGTGCCTCATATTTTACAAAGTGCCTTCACAGAAGTAATGCTCAAGTCACCTCCATATACGAGGTACAGGTGGGGATTATCTTCCTCATCCCACAAGATATGAAACCGATGTTCAGAGAAGCAGAGCAAGTTGGCTAATACCACACAACAAGCCACAGGCGGAGTTAAGACCTGAGCCCAGGAGCCCTGGGGCCAACCCAGGGAGGCTTCCCTGCACCACACAGACTGCAAAGAAGGCTGCCATTCCCAGGAACTGAGGACTCAGGAACTGGTTAATGAGGGGCCTTGCTAGGATGGGGCAAAAGACGGGGTGCCCAAGGGCTGGGGATGCCTGAGGAGGAGGAACCTTGCAGAGAAGCTCTACGACAGACTCACTCTGGGACCCTAGGAATGTCCCCTTCTGGGTCTCAGCGTCCTTATCTTTTGAATGAGGATGTACCCATAAGCTCCTGCTCCTTTTCAGATCACCTAACACCACCCATGTCATAAATAAGATGCTGGATTAAAATGGCCCTCTGTGGACAGAAAATGTTTAAACACTGGCAGAAGTGTTTAAAGCAGCTTAAAACCTGATCCGTGACCTAAGGCAAGTTGGTTCCCTCTTGGGGCCTCAGTTTCCAAATCCATAAAAGTAGATGACCCATATGTTCCCTCCAGATCTAACAATATTCTATAATTTTATAGCTCAGTACAGCTCACTCAGGAACAGTGTGACACCTGGTACATAATAGATGCTCAGTGAACATTGGTGGGCCTGAACTGAAAAATATAATCCTCTCTTACTCCAAACAATAGACCCATTTGTTTGCCCAGCAGACCTTCAAACTTAATATTATCTTCCTTCTTTCTAACAGGAGGGTCGGCTATCACACTTGATATTTTAAGGACATCTGAGCAGCCTTCAGCTTCCACCACTGCATCATGGCTCACCCTCTGTCTTCTGGACCAACTCAACAAGGAGGTAGGAAGCCAGTGGCTCTTTGCTTGTTTTGAATTTCACTGGCTTTGGCTGTGGGTGGAAACCCCTAGGGCTGAAGGCAGGAGCTCAGTGTAGACACATCCCTCAGCTGATGCCCATTTGAGGCCAGGCCTTTGCCCCTGGGTGGGAGGGGCGGGGTTGGCAAGGACAGTCTGCAGGCTTTGACAGACCCTGTAAGAATTCCAAGGAAGGTAAATTTACTGTGTTCTGACCCTCTTCCTCACTTCTATCTTTAAAATGAGCCCAATTGCACGTCCCAGGAGAAAAGGAGATACGTATGTTTCAAAGACCAAACTTGGTCTTGTTGCTGAAGGAATCTTGGTGGGTAACTGGGCTGGTTCTAGGCCTGGCTTTGCACCCAATAGGCTGTGCGATCTAAGAACAGTTAACTTCCCCTGCTGAGTCTCAGTTTCCCCATGTGTGAAAAAGAGCACTGAGCCCACCCAAAGAATTGAAAGCAGAGACTCAAAAAGATATTTGTATACCCAAGTTCATGGCAGCACTATCCACCATAGCCAAAGGGTGGAAACAACCCAAATGTCCATCAGCAGATGAATGGATAGATAACATGTGGCGCATGTGTATACAATGGGATATTATTCAGCCATAAAAAGAAAATTCTGACACATGCTACAGCATGGATGAACCTTGAGGTTATTACGCAAAGTGAAATAAGCCATACACAAAAGGACAAGTACTGTATGTTTCCAGTTCCATGAGGTACGCAGAATAGTCAAATACATAGAGACAGAAAGTGAAACAGAGGTTGTCAGGGGCTGGGGGAGGCGGAGGAGGATGGAGAGCTATTATTTAACGGGCACAGAGCTTCTATTTGTGGTGATGAATAGGCTCTGGAGAGTGGGGACAGTTGCACAATATGTGAACGTACTTAATGCCACTGAACTGCAGACTTAAAAATTGTTAAAATGGTAAATTTTATATTATATTTATTTTACCACAATTTAAAAAAATCTCTAAAAATAGAAAGAAGGAAGGAAAGAGAGAAAGAAAAAGAAAGAAAAAAAGAAAGAAAGCAAAGCAAAGCAAAGCAAAGCAAAGCAAAGCACTGAGCCCAAAGCTGCCCGACGTCCCTTCTGGGTTTGTATTCCAGGCCCCTCATGTCTCCGTCCTGAGCTGGAGAGGGGAAGGGAGGGAGGGAACACAGCAAAGAGAGTCAGCTGACCCCAGAGGGCCTGCCTGTACCTTGGGTCTCATAGTAGACGACACCTGCAAAGTGGTTGATCCCAAACTGGGTCTCGTGGTTGTTCTTGGGGGGGATGTAGTTCGAGTTAAGCTTGTGCTGGGAGTTCAGTTTATGCAACATGGTGGTGTCTGTGCCCTGGGGAACCAAGCAGCAGCTGTCAAGCCCACCCTTTCCTCCATGTCTTACTCTCCACCAGGCCCTACTGCTTCTCCTGCCCCATGTCTTTGCACCCGCTCTTCTGTCTTTCTCAAGAGCTTCCCCCCCTTTATTTATACCTCACACAGAGCTCTCTGCGTCTCCATTTCCCTACTTGTTAAGTGGGTGAATTGGAATTACATAACCTTCAAAGTACATTCAGTTTAGAAAATCTGTTTCCCACAATTAAAATCATGAGAGCAGCCCCTCCCCATTCCAAGGCATATTCTGTGCCAGTTGCATGCTTGGATCTTCATCATTTGGTCCAGGACCCATTGGACTGTAGGTGATTCCCAAATGTCAGATGAACACACTTGAATTGGCCCTAGAGCTACGCTGAGAAGTGCACATCATTAGTCCTATTTTACAGATGAGGAAAGCTGAAGCTCAGAGTGTGCCGGGGACCTGTCTGCCCCACCTTGTCACAGGCCCACCTTGGGGAACTTGCTCTCCTCGTCGATGAGGGAGATGATGTTCATGGGCTTGTTGGCGATCATGTCCAGGGCGTCCTGGTTGTCTGTGAACTCGATGTGCAGCCAGTCGATGCTCTCCAGGTCGTACTCCTCCTGCTCCAGCTTGAACACGTGCCGCACAAAGAACTGCTGCAGGTGCTCGTTGGCAAAGTTGATGCAGAGCTGCTCGAAGCTGCAGGGAGGGCGCAGGGCATGGGGGTGGGGGCGGGGGCGTTCAGGCCCTGCCCCTCCCCCTCGGGGAGCCTGACTCCGACTTGGCGTGCAGTGCACCCCAGGGCACACTGCTCCCACGTGGAATCTCCAACCTCTGAGGTGGGGCCGCATAGCAGGTACAACAAGAGTGGACACTGAGGCCCAGCGAGGCCAAGCACTCGCCCAAGGTCACTCAGTGAGTCAGGAGAGTTAGGGCTGGAGCCCTTGTTCCCAGCACCACCAGGTCCTGGGAAAGGGCTGTCCAGTGGGCACATAACCCCAGCAGAGCACCTGGGAGGGGAAGAGCCAAGGCGCTGGGGAGGTGGGACACAAGGAGAGATTTAAAGTGTTAGTGGACGTGGGATGGAGGCTTACAGGATTGGGCAAACAGAGCCCTGACAGTGATATCTCTGAGCCACCAACTAGCACTCTCCCAGGGTACAGACTCTTCATGCATTCAGCATGGGTGTTTTGGTCTTGCAGGAGGGCTTTGAGACACCGGAACATTATAGGGATGAAAGTGACTTTCTTGGGATCACATGGCTAAAAAGTGAGGCAGGACCAGCTGTCACCAGCCCCCAGGATCCATCTGGATCTGCTCGATCCATCTGCCTCTCACACGGCCCCCAGGAGGGGCAGGACCCCAAGTGGGGCCAAGACCCCCTTCAAAGCTTTGTTCAGGCCCAGCCTCTCCTGCTTTCAGGCATCTTGCAACTTGGACACTGGACGGGCAGGCAGTGGGGACTGTGGTGTCCCCGATGGTGTAAGAGCCCCTTAGCTGGCCTAGCTGATGCAGGGACTGGAGGGGATGGGGAGGAAGGGGAGAGGGCCCACCAGGATGTCTGAAGTCAAATTTTTCAACAGCCTGGCAATGTGCTTGGAACCAGCTAAATGTAGTTTAAAGGGAGAGATGTGACACTTGTGCCTCTGTTGCAGAAGAAAATTCCTACAGGGCAGAGCCCCAATGTGTTACCTGTTCACGGCAAAGTTCTCGAACCCAAAGATATCCAGTAGGCCAATAGACCGGCGAGAGTTCTTCACGTCCTGGGAGGGGGGCTTGTAAATTGCTGCATTGATCTTGTCCACGATCCACACAAAGAGCCGCCCGTAGATCCCCTGAGGGGAGAGGCTGCTACATCAATGGCCAGGCACAGCTGCCCTCTCCCAGGGACACAGGCCAGGCTCCAGTCCCTTACTGCTGCATGAAACCCCCAAGCCTTTACTCCAGCTGTTCCCTCTGCCTGGAACACCCACTCCTGCCTCAACAATTCCTGCTCTGTGGAGCTATCAGCTCCACAAGAAATCCTCTCTGACCTTTCAGTTCAGGCCCCCATCTCTCCGACCACCTCTGTCACCCCTTCAGCTCTAACTATCTTGAGGGTCCCAGAGCCCAGTACAGGGCCTGGAGCTGGGGAGGGGCTCACTGGATGACAAACATGTGACTGGAAACTGGCAGGACTGGGGGGCCGCCCCACCCGACCCAGTCCTTCTTTAGTGTCTTCTTTGGAGAGACCAGAGAGGATGTCCCAGGGCAGAGAATAGCACAGCAGACTGACTAATCAAAGAATATGATTCAGCATGAGGTCCAACAGGCTGGATATCAAAGCAGGCCCAGAGCAAAGGGCCTGAGGGCACCAGAGCTGTCAGGGCCCCTGAAGAGCACAACACCCTGTCCCTGTGGGACAAGTGGGGCTCCGGGGAAGGCAGACTCTTGCCTGGGTTCCAGAGAGACAGAGAGCCAGTGGCTAGAGCCTGGACCCAAGGGCAGAAAGGGGTCAAGGCCCAGATGTCCTTCCGGCTCTGTGCACTCCTCAGCTCCTGCCCATCAACAACCACCCTCCCACTGGCCTCTCCACCTTGACGAAGGCGTCTCGCACGTCCAGCGCCTGCTCCCTGCTGAGCGGGGTGGACACCGTCTCCCCACGGGTGATGATGGTGCGGCTGGTCAGGCAATTCATCAAGTCTGGGGAGTTCACCTGGTGGGGTGACATCCAAGGGCTCGCCCCACCACCTGCCGACCCGCCCCTCTCTCCACCACACCCAGAAACCATCCCCCCACTTTCCAATTAGGCCTTGATCAGACTGTTCCCTCCACTGGGAATGCCCTTCCCCATGGCCCTATGGCCAAATCCTCCCCAATTATCAAAAGGAAGGAATTGCTTTCTCCTCGACAGGCCCCTCCTATCCCCCTAGCATGTCACGTCCATCCCAGGACTGTCTCTGACTCTGGCTTTATTTATCCCAGTTTTCCAACTCAGGGCAGAGGTAATAAAGATTTGCTAAAAGACTGACCCACTAAGGGCCCCCTGGTGCCCTATGCCATCCCCGGGGCAGCTGATCTGGGACAGGCAGTGAGGCTCCCAGGCTCCAGGCCCACTCCTCCTCTGGGACCTGTGCCCAGCAGGTTCTCAATGTTGAATTCTAGAACTCTCCAAGCAGAGCACCCCAGCCCTCCTCAGCCCAAAGTCAGAAATGCCCCCTGAAAGAAAAGGAAACAGCCATGGGGCAGAAGGTGGGAGACTGACCTCAAGCAGGGATGCGGCTGTGGCCAGGGATGGGGAGAAGAGGACTTCGCAGGCATCCAGGTTTTCAAACGTGCGGTCTGTCAGCAGCAACACGGTGCAGCGTCAGGCAAGGAAGAGTGGGCATGGGGGTAAAGGGGCCATCTAGGCGGATTAGGCGGCCACTCCTGGGGGACTGCCCTGTCCACAGAGGGCATCAGCATCATGACTAAATGCTTTTCTGGGTCAGTGTCTGATAAATGTTCTCGCCATGCCACGTATGGTGAGGGCACCATGGGCACCATGAGGGTAGGAACCATGTACACCCAGCGCCTGGCTCCATGCCTGACATCCAAGTAGCAGACACTGGCAGTCATGACCCTCACCCCGACCCCCACTCCAGACTCCCAGAGCAATCAGTGGCTCCTGAGACAGGCTTGATAAACTTGCATAGCTCAGTGCCTGATACCACCTGCTCCTCCCCAAAAGTACCCTGCTCTCTCAGGCCTCAGGACCTTTGCATAGGCTCTTCCTTCTGTCTGGTGCACCCTTTCTCCACGTCATTTAGTCTTTCAAGACTCACTAGACTGTGAGCATCTTCAAGCTGGGATCATTCATTCGTTCACTGAGCAAAGCTTCCTAGAGCTCTTACTCTGTCCCAGGACTGGGCTGGGCACCAGGGGCAAGAGCAGAGTGGACTTGGTGCCTGCCTCAGAGGACACCTCCCAGCCTGGCACACTGTCGGTGCCCAGGGAGTGGTAGATGAGTGACTAAAACACACTTCCTTCTCTAGCTTTCCTTCTCTTTTGAGGAGGCTGCTCAGTGACTCACCCTCATACTGCAGGTTGCCCAGGTGCAGGATGGCGGCCAGGAGCTTTGAGATCTCCCAGTTCTCGGTGTCAGTGAACATGAGCACCTTCATGGCCGAGCGGATGTTGGCGTACTCCTGGCTGTCCTCGCGGCCCTCACAGGTTATGCAGTTACCCTGGAGAGAGGGGGTGGGAGAGTGAGGCGCTGAAGGATGTCAGGGAGGCCAGAGGTACCCTGAGAGAGGAAGTGCCTGGGCCGAGGGGCCTGCTCTGCCCAGCCAGGCCAGCCTGGGGCTCTGGGCACTGACTTCACTTATGTCTAGAAAGCTCCTGGCTGGGCTTCTCAAGAACACACCTACATCTGGGGAGCCTGAACGCCCCTTCTTCCCATAAGTGAGAGGAGCTGTTCACCCACCTTAGAGACTGGAACCCCTCACCAGGTGTTCAAGAAGGAGTGTTGGAAAGAGGTATGGAAGGACAAGGGGTTAACTGCAGACAGGTGGGGCATCAACTGGGGTCTGCCCCACTGTGTGTGCCTATAAGACCTGTGTGTGTGTGTGTGTGTGTGTATGTGTATGTCCAGGTGTGTCAGCCAGCTAAAGGAAGTGTCCAGGAAGGCCTGTCACACCTATAACACACATACACACACACACATGTATTTGTTGCCCACATCCCTCAGGTGCCACAGCCCACACTTGCATCCACGTGGCTGGCCCAGTTCAGGTCCAGACAACCAGGCATGGGCTTCCCTCAGCACTAGGGAAGCTGATGCTCCCAAGCCAGCCTGCTGTATGCATGGCCTCCCACTGGTGCTGAGTGGCAGCAATGGTCCCGGGCCCACTTTCCCTTGGTGACCAGACAGCAGCAAGAGGCTGGCACCAGGGCCCTGCAACCAGCGAGCCTCTGAGGCTAAAGCCTCAGCAGCCTGTGCACTGCAATCCTGGGGGCCCTGCAGAGGTCCCAGTCTGCACATCCTCAAAGACTGAAGGAACTCAGCACACCTGTGCACGCGGGTCCGGGTGCATGTACATGTGGGCGTGTGTGTGTCTATGCGTCCCTGGGTCCGGGACGTCTATACACATTTAGGAATGTGTGTGTATATGAGGTGAGGATTCATCTAGATGTGTGTGCAAGCGTGTGCCCAAGTGGGGACAGGCCTTAGGGTGGGCTGGGGCCACTCGGGGGACAGGAGAAAGCCCACAAAGAGGTTCCCACCCACCAGGCCTGGAGCTGAGGAGGGGCTGTGAGGGGAGTCCCCCTCCCCAGGTGCCTCACCAAGGCCTCACCATGGCCAAGTAGTTATAGTCCGTGGCTTGGCCCAGGCCCAGCTTCTTCTTCTGCTCCTCGCTCATGCCCTCCAGCATGCAGTAGAACACGTGGTAATTCCTTTCGTCGGGGGCCTGAAAATGTGGGCACAGGGTGTTGGGGGATGGGGTGGGAGGGCAGGAGGAGGCCATCAGAAACCGAATAATTAAGAGAACTGTCAACAGTTTACTATTTCAACAAAGGCCTTTCATGAAAAAGCCCCGGTGGGTGGGTCTCCTGGTGGGATTTCAGGCACTAAGGCAAGAAGACAGTAGCACAGGGACAGTTAAGGCCAGGCAGACAGTGTGCACCCCACGCACTGCTGAGCCTGGGGTCCTGTGCAGGTGCAGCTCTGCCCCGGGACTCGGGCCCACCTGGCGACAGACGCGTGACTTCTCCAGCAGGTACTGCTCGATCCTGGCGCCCTCGATGGCGCCCCGCTTGTTGAAGTGGATGTCGATGTACTTCCCGAAGCGGCTTGAGTTGTCGTTGCGGATGGTCTTGGCATTCCCAAATGCTGTGGGTGGGCAGAGGGTCCCAGTCAAGGTCAACTCCCACCCAGGCCGCCCCGCCCTACCCTGAGAGCCCCAGCCCTACCTTCCAGGATGGGAGTGGCTTCCAGCACCTGCTGCTCGATCCACGAGTGCTGCCCACTGATGGCCGCCAGGAACTGCAGGATCAGCTTCGTGCTCTCCGTCTTCCCTGCCCCAGACTCGCCACTGCAGGGGAGACCCAGGGAGAGGCAGGAGCTGTTATAGCCCTAAACTGCTCCCCCACCTCTGACCAGCTCCGTATCTATAAAATGGGCTGACACTAAGGACCTACCAGGGCTAGGGAAAGCGAAAGGTGCTCAGTGCCCTGCCACAGCCAAAGGTTACTTTCCCTCCCCTTCATTCAGACACACACACCCCCATCCATACTGCCACAGAACATGTTATGTTCTAGATGCTCAATCAATGTTTTGTCCTTTAACCCTCTGCTCAGGAGAGCACAGAGATTTCAACTGAGTGTAACTTTAGGAGGCAGCAGTAAACAACGTTGACCCCAAAAGCTAACATGAGCTTTGGTAGCATTAAGAGAGATAAAGGGCCTGGGAAAGGGGAGGTGATTCTCCACATCATGAGCCATTAGCAGCACAGAGCTGGAGCTCTAGGGGCTAAGCCTGGAGCTCCACGCTGGTGCCGGGCCGCCCACCTGATGATGCAGCACTGGTCACGGCTGTTGCGCTTCATGTTGAAATAGCAATTGTCGGCGATGGCGAAGATATGGGGGGGCATCTCCCCAATCTTCTTGTTGGTATACTGGCGGATGTGTTCTGGCGAGTAGATAGTGAGCAGCTGGTAGGGGTTCACAGCCACCAGGATGGAGCCCGTGTAGGTCTGTGGGCAACAAGGAACAGGGAGCTCACCCCTGGGGGGCTCTGACTCTAGAAAGCTCTCAGGCTCTGCCCTGCTCCGTCCCTCTGGAAGGGAGAGCACTAGCTTTGGAGTCGCATGGACCTTGGGGTCAGAACCCTACCTTCCTCTGAGCTGAGGGTGGAACTTTCAGACTAGCATTGAGCTGGGCTCAGAGTAGGAGCTCAGTGACATGGGATGAAGGGAAGGAGGAAGTGGGGAGAGAGGGAAAGAGGATCTCTAAGCCTTGGTTTCCTTACCTTTATCTGTAAAATGGTCATAGTATGACTCTTGACGAAGGTTAAAGAAAGTGGTGGACTTTAGAATTCAGAGCACACTTTAGGTAAATATCAAATGCTGCTCCCACCTTTGCCTCCAAACCCTGCATCTCAAACTTTTGGAATGAAATGTACAAACTGGGCCTTTCCAGAGCAGAGGCTGGGTTGGTGAGATGGGAGTGGAATCAAGCCATAAAGAGCTGGAGAGGCTGGGTGGGCCCGGGTCTCTGCAGCACTGCCCGTCTGCTTTGGGGGACAGAGTGCCTCCAGCCACTCTGGGCAGTGTGGACACAGCGGCCAGACACACCTCAGCCTTCTGGGGCCTTTTCCTGCCTTGGGCTCCTCGATTGAGTGCACCTGTGTGCAAAATTTCCTGCTGTGGGCCCGGGCCCTGCCACACGAGGAACAACAGGGCCTGGCCCTCTTGCCACCAGGACACAGCGAGGCCCTCAGGGACTACTTCTCCCTTCCCCCAACCCCTCCCCACCCCAACTTGAAAAGGTCAGCCTCAGCCCATAATTGGTGACAGATCTACTGACATCTGAGCCTGGAAGGGCTGAAGAAAGATGCGACTTCGCAGGGGAGGTGACGCATCACACCAGAGCCACAACCACCCCCCAGCAGCCTCAGCCCAAGGTGGCCGTGCAGGGAAAGCGCTGCTACCCGCACCGCATGCCAGGGGATGTGCCCACCCTGGGGCCAGGTATGGCCACGCAAAGCTGCCCTGGCTGAGCGCCCCAGACCCAGGCTTCAGTCCTGCCAGACCCCACCCTGTGGGCCGTGGAGGACTCCCCTCTCCCACCAGGGCTCTTCCTCCTAGCAGCCCACACCAGAGGCAGCTGAGCCTCATCATGCTGACCATGTGCCAGAGCCCAAGCCAGGAGAGACAGGGTGGGACAGGGGAGGAGGCTGGACGGGAGCTGCCCGGCCAAGCACATGCCGAGAGCTGGGGCCCGCTCTGTGCTGCACTCACTCGCCCTCCACAGCTGGTCTGAGGTTGGAAAGTGGGGAGAAAAGGCAACTGATCAGTGGGGATGGGGAGGTAAGGGCCTTCTCTAACAGCAACATCCCACACGGCCCAGGGCTGGGCTAAATTCTCAGAGCAGCACCTACCAACCTCTAGCCCTGAGATGCCTCAGCCACGGTCCCCTATAGCTCAGCCCTGCCAAGTGGTGGGAACTAGCTAGACTCTGGTCCCCAGGCAGAAGAGATAGCCACAAAGAACATCCCTTCAGCAGATCACGTCACTTCTCTAAGCCTCAGTTTGCTCATCTGTAAAAGGGGGATGGTTAACACTCACCTCCCAGGGCTATTGCAAAGACCAAAGGACATAACCTTTGACAGGTGCCTGGTACAGAGTGGCTGTGCATAAGTGCCACCTTCCCTTCTTCTGAATACTTCCTTAACAATGTGATGCTCAGCCACCTGGCCTGTGATCACCATGTGACATGAGGCTCGTTCCATGCAGTCATTCAAGAACCCTTCACTGAGGCACACGGGGAGACTGACAGCCTCACTCTGGGTGCCAGGGAGGGAAAGCCCAGGGTTGTGGGTGCTCAGACCAGGCACACAGATTCCTCGAGGTGGGGGTGTGGAAGAGGGGAGCGGAGGGCTTCTCAGTGGGAATCAAGCACAGGGGCATGAAAGGGCATGACATTTGGGAGGACTGCTGAGAAAAGTTGCCCTGGCAGCTGGGGAGGATGAATAGCAGCTACAGAGGCTGGAGGCAGAGACACTATTTCAGACCAAATGAACCGGTCAACAGAGAAATCACAGTCAGATAGAGGTGGCCCTGAGGACAGGCTCAATGACCAGGAACAGGGCAAGGGCAGTGCCGGAAAGGGCAAAGGGCACACTGAGACACCCTGAGATGCCTTCCAGCGGCCTGGCCTGGACCCCCTTCTCCCACTCACGGCTTCCTTGGCCCTCTCTACCTAGCACTAGGCACCTCAGCCTCCTAGACATCCCCCAATGATGTCCCCCTTTGATGTCCACCAGCCTGTCCAGCCTGCAGCCCACTCTCCCCTCAAACCTTGCCCCTCCTCTGCCTCCTGGCTTGGCAAACAGTGCCACCACCATCCTTCACCAGGGCAGGATCCAGGGATGCCCCTCACTCCTTCATAGCAACCTATGTCTCTCCATGGGCACAACCACCTTCCTGGCCAGATGCCTCTCCACCAGGCTCCTGGCTTCCACTCTGCCCCCTAAAGTCTGTCCTCTCCAGGGGACCAGGGTCAGCTTTTTAAAAATCTGACTGTGTCATCCCTCTGCTGAAAACCCTCAGGCAGTTCCCCAGGGCCTCAGAACAAAGTCCATATCCTTTCCCTGCCCATAAGACCCCCGAGCCCTGGCCCTTGCCAGCTGCATCCCACAGCCAGAGGCTCCCTCCATATTAAACCTTCAGGTAAAAGCACCACACTCCATCCCCTGCCCCCTCACCCAGCTAATGTCTGCTCATCCTTCGGGTCTAAACAGAAATGACTGCCCCCTGTGCAGGAAGCGGGGCCCCCTCCTGGGTGACCATCACAGCCTGCACTGCCCCTTTCACTTGGCCATAATTGTGGTTCAGGGCCTTGGGCTCCCAGTCTCGCTCTCCTCTCTACCTGAGGCCCCGCACTGTGCACAGCACGCAGGACATGTTCAGTAGATGTTTGGTAAGTGAACAAAAGAGTGACTCACTGAACGGATGGAGAAGAAATGAACCAGTGCCCCACAGGAAACAAGGAAGGGAGCCGAGGGGACAGGCCGGTCAGTAATACTGAGGCAGCTCTGCCTATGCTGACAGGATGGATGGCCCGGGGCTCTGGCTAGTGGGAAAACCACAGAACAGTGGGGAAGCAATGCTACCATTTGTGGAGAAAAGAATAAAAATTGTATATAATTTATATCATATAAAACATATGATATACATTTTATATTTTTTTGTTTTATATTGCATATATGTTTATATATATTCTTTCTCTTGAAAGATAGATGAGAAATTAGTAGTAGTGGTTGTCACTGTGGCAGGAGGAATACTTTCCAACCTGTAACACAAACACCCATTGCAAACTAAATAATAAAAATGAGGCCTCTTCCTTTGGTGAGGGGACCCTCCCCAGCAGAAAGACAAGGACACACCAACTGCCAGGAAGATCTCTCGGGTGCAGGACTTCACAGCTACCAGGCCATCACTCGGCGTTGCTCAGAAAGCCACAGGGAGGTGTGGTCATGACACCCCTTCTCAGATGGGAGAACTGAGCCTCTGAGAAGGGGCAGGACTTGCCAAGCTCATAGAGCAGATAAGCAGGGAGTGGGATGAAGGAGGGACCCTGGCACCGAGCCCCAGCTTTCACCTCCACACCTGGGCTCCCCCAAATCCCAGGAATTCACCTGCAAAACTGTGGAGCTGGCAGTGGGGCAAGTGAAAGAAGTGAGAGGCTTGGCGACTGCTGACAATGAGGCTCAGGCCCGTCCTGCCTCCCTCTGGGCCCCAGTGCCCACCCATCCCCTGAGGCTCTGCTCCCTGAGCACCTCCAGCCCTGGCTCTCCAAGGGTTCATGGACAGCAGAGGGTTAATGTCCAAGTGCCCTGCACAGGCTTCTTGTACAAGTCTCCAGTAATAAAACCTGCCCTGTGGGGCCAGGGGCTGGAGTAGGGAACAGATAAGCATTATTTCCAAGCCAAAGTCATAGCACACAGGTTCCTAGGGGCCCCCAAGTGCCCAGGTGGAGATCAGGGGGCCTCTCTTGGACCACAGACACACCCTAGGAGATGTGGGGAGTCCAACTCCTTCAGGAA